GTTGTGCTAGTATGTGCTGTACAGACAGGCCACTTCCTGGGCACTGCTTCTCTGTAAGTCCATCATAATGGACCCATTTTCCAAAATGCTTTATCTTGCAAGTGTAATGCTGCCTGTATCTGACATAAAATGTAAGACCATAAAGAGTGTAACTGCAATAAAGGGAGGGGACAAATGTCAGTACCTTGTAACCAACAAAATTAAATACTTGATGATATCATGTAGTAATCATAAGAAAGAGTTCATCACATTTCAATCTCACTATTCTCACTATTTTCATATAATTTTAGGATATTCAGTGAATAGATAAATACAGGAAATAAATATGTTGTACCAATACCTTCTCCCAAGAAACTTGATCTGTTGAGGGAAATCACTCTCTGAGGCTAGTGTACCTGAGGCAGCAAGAAACTCAACATTAATAATGAGTATCAAAGAAGCCCCATCTGGAAACTGACAATTACTTTGAGTACGCATCCCATCACAGTATGCATGCTGCACCAACCTATGTACCTATCAATGTCTTGCCCCAACAGGGGGAGTGCGGAAATAGGTGGGGCATTTGACCAGTGAACTTTGTCCAAGGGAGGGGATGTTTTGAATAAGAATTAAGGTTTGAAATGGCAGAGGGTGTGGAATTTGAAATTTATTGACCAAAAATATTTGAAATCAATTGTCAATAGCCCCTGGGTATACCTGCACTCCCCCAATTGGGGCTACACATTGATAACTGCATTACAAAACTTAAAAAAGTATATTATATTTATAAAAATAGAAAAAAGGCATTGCAAAAATATTATATTTAAGTAATTACATAAAAATGTTTCTGTTAAAAATAAACAAAAAAACTTCCTTTGTCTATTAAAACTTGATTCTTTAATAAAAAAAATTACCTCCATTTATAATACTCCTTGTCATAAGCTAATAATGCATTGCACATATGAAGAAATAATTTTGCAGCATCATCAAATCCAGAGTTAAAAGTGAGCAAGGGAAGAGAACGGTTGCAGTTTTGCTGCGATTTTTTAAAGACCCCCGGAATGATAAAATACCTTTGAAACATTTTTTTTTTCTTTCTTACAGCAGCGCAAGAATTTTTTTTCTATTACATTTGTGCTGCAAGCAATTTTTTTCTTCCGACAAGCGCTTGCAGGAACTTTTTTTTCAAAATCACCCACCCAACCCCCCCTTAAGAGTTGAATGGTCGGCCCTAAGACCCCTGGTTGTAAGAAACCCTGGTTGTAAGAACCCCTGGTTGAAAGACCCCTGGTTAGACCTCCTCGTTGTAAGAACCACTGGTTGTAAGACCCCCTTACAACAAGGGGTATTACAACCTGGGGTTCTTACAACCAGGGGTCTTACAACCAGAGGTTCTTACAACAAAGGAGGTCTTACAACCAGGGGTCTTACAACCAGGCGTCCTTACAACCAGGGGTCCTTACAACCAGTGGTCTAGGGGTCTTACAGCCCGGGTATCTTACAACCGGGGGTCTTAAAACCAGGGGTGTTACAACCAGGGGTTCTTAGAACCAGGGGTCCTTACAACCAGGGTTTCTTAGAACCAGGGGTCTTACCACCAGGGGTTCTTACAACCAGGGGTTGTTCCATCCAGTGGTCTTACAACCAGGGGTCTTACAAGCAGGGGTTCTTACAACCAGGGGTTCTTACAACCAGGGGTTCGTACAACCAGGGGTTCTTACCACCAGGGGTTCTTACAACCAGGGGTCTTACAACCAGGGGTTCTTACCACCAGGGGTTCTTACAACGAAAATGAAAGGATGTCAATAAAAAACAGCTTACGTTGTGTGTTACGTTTCTCTCTTGTGGTTAATGGGTCAATTTAGGGTCGTTTACGGGTTTTACTGCAAACGGTCTTCTCTCTATATAGAAGGTTTACTAAGGCTAACCCACGTGCACAGACCTCGAAATACGTTTATGACAATTCTTGTGAACGAGAGGCTTTCTGTTTCACATGCAGGACAAAAGACTTCAGTTCAGGGGACTGAGGGGAGTCAGCGGAAGTTTCATTGATTTGCCCAGATAGGTTTTTTTATGCCACTCAAGAAATGGATTCCTTGTAACTGCGATGTTAAATGTTAATTGAAAATTTGACAAGGCACATTTACGTTGGAGTCAATTTTTTAAGTGACCTAAATACAATGTAGGAGTTTGCTTTGATTTTTTGTGTGTACGCTAAAATGTAGGACTGCCACCTTAATAAACGCCCACTTCCAAATAATACGGTGTTAAAATTGCATTAGACGCTCCTGTCTAATAAACGCCCTCTATGAGAATTAATCCAAATTAAGTACTAGGAATTAGCAAAAAGGAGTAAAATCACAGAGTCTGACCGGGGCAAACTCTGAGGAAACGACTTTTTGTTCAAAAAATCGGAAAATCTGGATTTTTATAGGCTGAATTTCATCCCATTGCTTCAAGTCGTTTTCTCCTCTCAGCAACCCCGTTACTGAGGGAGTAATAACGACTCGAAGTAATCGGATGAGATTCAGGCTAGGATTTCGCTGTATCATTTCTGACAGAAAAGGTAACCCTTTCGTGATTAGCCTGTTCCAGGTTTTTAGATAGTCGGGACGGCGCGAAGTAAAGCGAGTAGGGAAAAAAATAGCAAGGGGGTAGGGTGGGGAGACAGGGTGAAGGAACCTTTCTCTCCTCCTCTTCCTTTCTTCTACCCCGTTCTTTTCGCTCTACTCTACTCTTTGCCCCTCTCTTCACTATCTGAACAACTCGAACAGGCTGTAAATAAATTTATTATATGGCTGAGTCTGTTTTCGCCATGCGAATGGTCAATTTGCTGTCCGTAACTTGCTATACGGACCAAAATTTGAAATAAAATGCTCATTTCGGAGCTCTAAATCTCTTTACCTCGGAAAAAAAGGTTGAAATTAAGTTACAAGACGTCTATCAACCTTGAGGACTTAGATTTTGACTTTGTCCTTCAACATTTTAAACTGTGTTTAGTTGTGAACGAAGGCGATGAAGAAACTAGCCTGAATTTCATCCGATTACTTCGAGTCGTTATTACTCCCTCAGTAACGTCTGAATCGACCGACCGTTAATGCCGTCCAGTGACGTCACTACTCCTTGACCTTTGCTTTAATTCATGCAAAAAGCAAAACACGATTTTCAAGTGGCAAACCGAGAAATATCGTTTGGAAATGTCTGCAAGATACAGAACTGCTTTATTTTTTTCGATTGTAGTTCATGTTTAACGTTCAAACAATCAACTGCATGCGGTACAACTCTAAACCGGTTGTACTAAATTCTACATTCAAACTCGGTCGCAATCACGCAATGAAATAAAACATGATAAAAACACACACGGAACACTTAGTTCAAAAACAAAATGATTTGCTTTAATTGAAAAGAAGCTATTTGGTCCTTAACGAAGAAAAAAACAAGGAGAAAAGAAAGAAAAGCTAACAGAATCATCACACTTGACGGTGAAATAGCAAGAAGGTAGAATTAAAATTCAGAAAACTTCGCGTAAACAAAATCCGTAGTTACTAAAACAAGGAATGACCTACAATGAGCTACTATGACCAAACGTGTAATCCCTGTAATGAAATAAAATGAAGATTTTAGAAAAAGACAAAAAAAAAAGATGAGGGGACGTGTGTCGTAGTTACTAAAACAAGGAATGACCTACAATGATCTACGATGAGCTACTATGAGCTACTACGAGCTAAGTTAAAATAAGCCCTACAATGAGCTACAAAATGACAGACAATGATGTTTGTCGTGTGTCACGCTTGGACGTGACACTAGGCTCATGGTATTAAATTGTCAAGGACATTTTAAAAAGGCAAAACAAAAATTGTGCCTGATCTCAGGTGACTTGAGAAACTTGAAAATAGATTATTGCAATCGCGTTTTTAGCGGTATAGCACTATTATACCTTGTATTGACCAAAGTCATGCAGGTACTTCCTCATTTGGCCTAGATGGGTATGGGCCGCTGAGCAGGATATGGATTTTACTATTTAGCGTTACAAACAGAGCATCCTGTTGGACCGGAAGCCATTTAAAGGGTCTTATGATGTCTTATACAGGCCAGGGTACCTGAAAAAAATGAACAATTTTTCTTTTGAACAGGGTCAGAATTTGAAGGCCTCCTTTGTTCATCTCTAGCCTTACACCCCTTGAAGATCCCCCCCGGATCGACTGTTGGGGTGACTGTGTTTGTTCAATTTGTTTGAAAAAAAGACAAGACAAAATAAAACTAATGCGAAAGGTTGCAAGGGATGGTTTGGACAAAAGTCACAGTATCATCATACATGTATTATTGCACTGTAAATTTATCTCCAAGCGTAATAATTAGAGATGCTGTCATCGTTAAATGGGCTGTCATGCAGTAGACTAAACGCGTTACGTTTACGCACACGTCCCCTGATCTTTTTTTTTTTGTCTTTTTCTAAAATCTTCATTTTAGCTCATTACAGGGATTACACCTTCGGTCATAGTAGCTCATTGTAGATCATTGTAGGTCATTGTAGGTCATTGTAGGTCATTCCTTGTTTTAGTAACTACGAAACAAAATCACCGGCCGCCGAAACCACAAAGCGGCTCTGAATGAAACCTCACCTACCGACTCTCCGCGATGATTCTTCATTCGCAGTTCAATTTAACATTTCAGTTTCGAAGACAAGGGCAATTTTGCTGTTTAAGATAAAGATTAAGCTCATAGAAATGTTTGAACTAACCGAAAGAATGTCAGGGATGCGATCCGCTGAATATCAAATGACAATCCCGCTAAAATTTTTCATAATTATACATAATTATGCGAATGTTTAGACAATCAACCAATGAAAATCACTACCCGGTTTTCGGGTAGTGAGTGACGTCACTGGACGGCATTAACGGCTGGTCGATTCAGACGTTGTTGAGAGGAGAAAACGACTCGAAGCAATCGGATGAATTTCAGGCTAGATAACAAACATGCCTGCCCCCGATCATCTTTACGACCTTCTTTGTCATTTTCAGTGTTTTTCCAAAGATCACAGAAAGAAAGATAGAAGCGACTCCGAGCCAGACACAAAGTCCAGTTTTCAAAAGACTCCAGCGTCACATTGGCGAGTGAATACTTACAGTGCTCTTAGTTTTGACCGAATATACTTGAAAATATGTCTGTAAACCATGAGGACTGGGATGTTGACTTTGCCTTTCCATATTTTAAACTAGCTTTGTTCGAACGAGAACGAAGCTGATGTAGAAACGGAATCGTAATCTTTCCGTGGAAGAAAATGTTGTCCGTGTTTGAAAATTTTAACGCAGATCACGCTTGAAGACGAGAATCAGTGCGAGAATGAACTGCCAGAAATTCGAGAGGTTTTCCCCAAAAAATTAACGAGCGAATCTTCGACAATGACAACAAACTTACCTTGAAAAGCTTCTTTGCCTTTTGCGGTGTTTTTTAAAAGGACCAACGGAGGAAAGATGGAAACGACTTCGAGAAAGACACAGTGCCCGGTTTCCAAAATACTCAAGGGTCAGCCTAGTCCCTAAGCGTTCTCTCTTGCCCCGTTGTCCGCGCGAAGTCTGCGAAGTCCGCGTTCTCGGCGTTTATCGGAGACGTCACAGCTCACGGTAGAGTCCAGGTTTGACCGAGCCGAGAACGCCTAGGGACTAGGCTGCTCAAGCGTTACATTAAAGAGCTAAAACTTATAGCGAATTTGTTTTCATTTTCTTGGAAACGCTTTGTCATGTGCTGTTGTTTTCGTGAGCCACTAAAAACTTTCTTTCTTGACGCCTGTCAAATGATTGTCAAATCGCGCGTCCTGCACCTGTTTCCGGTCCCCGAAACTTGAAGAAGCCATATAATAAACATCTTATTAGCCTCGTTTTTTCGGTCCGTACAGTAAATTAAGGATCGATGGAAAAAAACGAGGATCCGTAATTTACAGTACGAACCGAAAACTCGGCTAATAAGAGGTATATACTTGGAAGTTTTCTTGACTTTTGCACAGCCATGATTTACCTCTTTTAAGTTCTGAATGAAGATTTCCCCATTAAAAACCTTTTATATTTTTTCGAGGGTCTCTCTCTCTCTCGCTCCTTCAATTAGTGAAATCCCAGCCTACCGAAACCTTTCACATACACATCCCCCACCCACCCCCCACCACACCGGGCCTCGAAGAGTTTGCCATCGGAAGCGCGGTTACCAAGGCTTCCGATAATGGTTATTCTTTCATGTTACGCTTACGCCAAATAGATATATCCTTCATGTAATAGTAATAGATTGTTTATCTCCCTGTATACCCTGTATACCCTGTATACCCATGTATACCCTGTATACCTATGTATACCATGTATCATGTATACGTATGTATACCCTGTATACCTATGTATACCATGTATACCCTGTATAACCATGTATACCCTGTATACCCATGTATACCCTGTATACCTATGTATGCCCTGTATACCCTGTATACTCTGTATACCCTGTATACCTATGTATACCCTGTATACCCATGTATACCCTGTATACCTATGTATACCCTGTATACCCTGTATACCCTGTATACCTATGTATACCCTGTATACCCTGTATACCTATGTATACCCTGTATACCCATGTATACCCTGTATACCTATGTATACCCTGTATACCTATGTATACCCTGTATACCATGTATACCCATGTATACCCTGTATACCCTATATACCTATGTATACCCTGTATACCCTGTATACCCATGTATACCCTGTATACCTATGTATACCCTGTATACCGTGTATACCTATGTATACCCTGTATACCCTGTATAACCCTGTATACCATGTATACCCATGTATACCCTGTATACCCTGTATACCTATGTATACCCTGTATACCCATGTATACCCTGTATACCTATGTATACCCTGTATACCCTGTATACCTATGTATACCCTGTATAACCCTGTATACCCTGTATACCCATGTATACCCTGTATACCCTGTATACCTATGTATACCCTGTATACCCTGTATACCCATGTATATCCTGTATACCCATGTATACCCTGTATACCTATGAATGCCCTGTATACCCATGTATACCCTGTATACCTATGTATACCCTGTATACCTTGTATACCTATGTATACCCTGTATACCCTGTATACCTATGTATACCCTGTATACCCATGTATACCCTGTATACCTATGTATACCCTGTATACCCTGTATAACCCTGTATACCCTGTATACCCATGTATACCCTGTATACCCTGTATACCTATGTATACCCTGTATACCCTGTATACCTATGTATACCCTGTATACCCTGTATACCCTGTATACCCATGTATACCCTGTATACCCTGTATACCCTGTATACCCTTGTATATCCTGTATACCCATGTATACCCTGTATACCTATGTATACCTATGTATACCCTGTATACCCTGTATACCTTGTATACCCATGTATACCCTGTATACCTATGTATACCCTGTATACCCTATATACCTATGTATACCTATGTATACCCTGTATACCCTGTATACCCATGTATACCCTGTATACCTATGTATACCCTGTATACCCTGTATAACCCTGTATACCCTGTATACCCATGTATACCCTGTATACCCTGTATACCCATGTATACCCTGTATACCCTGTATACCTATGTATACCCTGTATACCCTGTATACCCATGTATACCCTGTATACCTATGTATACCCTGTATACCCTGTATACCCATGTATACCCTGTATACCCTGTATACCCATGTATACCCTGTATACCTATGTATACCCTGTATACCCTGTATACCTATGTATACCCTGTATACCCTGTATAACCCTGTATACCCTGTATACCCATGTATACCCTGTATACCTATGAATACCCTGTATACCCTGTATACCCATGTATACCCTGTATACCTATGTATACCCTGTATACCTTGTATACCTATGTATACCCTGTATACCCTGTATACCTATGTATACCCTGTATACCCTGTATACCCATGTATACCCTGTATACCTATGTATACCCTGTATACCCTGTATAACCCTGTATACCCTGTATACCCATGTATACCCTGTATACCCTGTATACCTATGTATACCCTGTATACCCTGTATACCTATGTATACCCTGTATACCCTGTATACCCTGTATACCCATGTATACCCTGTATACCCTGTATACCCATGTACTCCTAGTATACCCTGTATACCCTGTATACCCTGTATACCTTGTATACCCTGTATACCCATGTACTCCTAGTATACCCTGTATACCCTGTATACCCATGTATACCCTGTATACCTATGTATACCCTGTATACACTGTATACCTATGTATACCCTGTATACCCTGTATACCTATGTATACCTATGTATACCCTGTATACCCTGTATACCTATGTATACCCTGTATACCCTGTATACCCATGTATACCCTGTATACCCTGTATATCCTGTTTACCTATGTATACCCTGTATACACTGTATACCTATGTATACCCTGTATACCCTGTATACCCTGTATACCTATGTATACCCATGTATACCTTGTATACCCTGTATACCCTGCATTCCTTGTATACCCATGTATACTTATGTACTCCCTGTATACCCATGTATACACTGTATACCCTGTGTGCCCGGTATACCCTGTCTACCCTTTAGTAAAAAAATCATGTTTGATATACAAAATAAATCTTTTATGTAAACAATTTAATATCGAAAATAAATCAGTTACTTTTAAAAAAAACCCTTCTGCTTTCCTACAGTTTGTCAGTACATTTTAAAAACCACCAAGTCAATCTGATAAGTGCAAACAAAAAAACTAAACTTCTACTCCACCTATACAAACGAAAAAAAGTACTCTGAATTCATTTATCATATCAGGAAGCCTGAACATAAACGCATCGCCTTCAAATTTAAGATAGGAAATTACAAATCTGAAAGATTTACAATCCGCAAAACTCCCGAAGACCTTAGAATTTGTGATCATTACAGTCTAAATTGTTGAAAATTAAATACACCTATTATTTCATTGGTCCTTAAAAAGTCTCTTTTCACTAAAAGGAATGACGAAATACGTTATTTACAAATTAAAATACTGATGATAAAATCTGTTTTCTTTTTAATATTAATACTGATTCGTACATGCGGAAGCTTACTGCTACCTTCGTCTTCCAAGCATTTGAGAGACGAAATTAGAATAATGATAATAATAATCGATAAATTATCCCATTCTATTATATCTGTAACTCCTTTGCAATCTTCGTCTTGATATTATTGTATTTCAGTGTACCGGTAACACCATGTTAAAAAATAGTAATACTAAATAAACTTGTTGTTGTTGTTGTATTCTTTGTATTTCCTTTATCTTTCCATTTTCAAGTGCAATATCCTATAAATGCGATATCACAGCGACGTCAGTCATTAAATCGACAGATGATGACAATAGAGGGTCATTTGATAAGGTAGAATTCGTAGCCCTTTAATTATTGCTATTATATCATTTTATTTAATTCTACTCATGTTTCTAGAAAATTTATTTTAATTAGGGAAATGATCGCAAGGGTGAAATTGTCGAAGAATATGTTGGGATTTAATTTTAGGGATATTTATCCATTTGTCGTTTTATTGTTGTTTTGGTTCAGTAGTATTTTAAATGAATAAGATCATTAAACAACATCGATCTAATAGTTAGCATTTCATCATCGATTTGTATATATTTACGTTTTACTAACATTTCAACGTACTCCATAATGTTTTATCCTCAACGAACTATTTCATTAAGGAGGCTGACGACCACCACACCTTTTAGCCTAAAATTGAATGACGAATAGTTTCAAAACCCTCGTTAAGAGCTTGCTGCCTTAGCAAGTTTTTAAGACTGAAAGGCTCTTCATATTCAATTCTACTTTCTAAGCCAAACTTTTCTTATTTCCTCAACCTTCAGTAAACTAGAATTTCAAACTGTAGTTTGGCATAAATTTTCAACCTAGCGAGTTGCATCTTGTTCGGAATCTTGTATTGTATTCAATTCTTCAGGACTTTTCAATTTCTCAAATTTTTGCACGAACAAAGAAACCGTACTTAATTCCACATTCTTTTATTTTTTCGGTTCGGTGCAGCTGCAAAGCTCCTACTTTTCGCCTAAACGACGGTATTTGTCTGTGGGAACATTCTCTCTATCGTCTGCACTAAATAGAGCTCAGCTGAGAGCTGCAGTGCTTGTAAACACTTAGTCACTTGAATTTCCACCCTAGAGCTGAACCGACTATCAAGAATACTGGAAGCTTAACTGACAACCGTACGTCCTACTTTGAACCCACTTTAACGATCTGTCCCGTAGAAAAATTGTCTAGATATTTAAACAGATTTCTCCAATCCTGAGTATCAGATGAAATATGTGGACAGCAGTGAAGAGTGATATGTTAGCTCGGAAGGTTAACCTCGGTTTATCTGTCAACTTGTGCCCTTCCCAGGGGAATTCTTATTGATTTTTCATAGCAGTAACAGTTGTATTAGTTGGGAACAAAAACCCAGAAAGGTAAAGAAAAGAGTGATAACACAATTCACCCAGAAATTGGCATACTCCTCGTCAAACTACCCCATTCCATACACTCTAGGCCACGTAAGAAAGGCTATATGTAACCCCCAAAGGATACGCGAGGACAAACTGGTCAGTGTGTACGTACTCTTATCATAGTTAGTAGAGGAGACTAATTAGGAAACCCGGCAAACATCAAAGTTGAAAAAAATGGTGCTGTAGGTTATGTTGGAAGCACCCTGACCGTGCACAATCCTTTGTTTTCTTTTCACAAATTATCAATGAAGAAATTCATGCAATGTTTCTATTGGTCAAAAACTTCCAAACGATAGGAATGCTATTGAACGTTGTGCACGGTCAGGTCCAAAAAAGCCAACAAAAACCTATAACAAAGGGTTTCCCAACCATTCCACTTTAATTAACTACGCTCTTATAGAGGAACAAAAGAAGAAATTAAGTGAATAATTTAACGATATCGATGGTTGACATTTTTATTATTTTGTTACAATTTAAATACATTTGCGAATCATTGTATCCCGAAATGAGTTATGATGTAACAAAATGTCCGAGTGGAATGTCGAATTAATGCAATACAAAATTATGTCTACTCAGTGGAGGCAACATAGACTACCCTACATTAAAAACCCTGATTAATATAACGCGAACTTTTATTAGTCATTTAAAGGAGCTACGTCATCGTTTGTGCGTATTGAATAACTTATCCCAATTTTTTTCAAGTTCGTCATTTGCAATCCACGTTAATCTTCTCTATCCTTGACCATCCTCGGTATCTTTCTGGCTTACTTTTTCCTCCTTAGTGTTTGTCAGCCTATCAAACTGGAACTTTACGGTTTCCTTCTATTTAAAAGGTAATTTTTTATGTCACAAAAACTACTTATAATGTTGTGACGTAACTCGTTTAACTAACATCACATTTCGGTATTTTCCACGAGGTTTAATGTGACAATTAAAAAATGCGTTTCGTAGCTACTACAGAATTCCGTTTCTATCATTGTTTTCTTTGGAAAAGGATCTTAATATCGTTATGTCACATTCATGTCCAGTGATGTAAACTTTTTTCGGAGGCAGATCGTTTTATCCAATCGGGAACGTTCTCAGGTCCGCTAGGCGATCTTATACCTCTAGCAATCGCAAACGTTATTCAAATACCTTTATTTGTCTTAAATCCAAGTTTTTTGACTCCTTTCGTGATGATTTCTCCTGAAGCGATGGTGCCAGCCTCAAACGTCGTCTACCTCGCGTATAATGCAATTGGTCCAGGACACTATGATGCGCTAATTATCTCCCAACGTGATCAGCAGGAGCGATTCACTTCTGAAACAAACAGCAATCTCGATGCTCTCGAGAGTCAGTCAGTCCACGCTTTCCACGGAGAAAGTGCCAATCTCAACTTCAAGAAAACCATGTCGATGCGGAGAAAAAAATAAATACAAATCAAAAGCAAAAGCGTCAAGGAACTACAAAGGCAGGTGCAAGTGCATCAACGAATACGGTACCTGTATGAGCCCATGCAGTTGTTGTGGATGGTGCCAAGGCAAACAATGTGGGGGAAACCAAAGGCTTCCTCGGGACAAAAAATGTAGAACACCGAGAAAGCGAAGTCAAAAATACAGGCATACCGTGAAAGCGAAACGATCAAGACTTTCACTGGAAGAAAATGACGAAAAAATCAGAGATCCTGGATTGAATGAGCTCGAGTTCTTTGTCATGCATGCTATTATCCAGCATGCCAACTCAAAGAAGGATGTCAAAAATGACAACAGTCATTTTTGTGACATGTTTAGCAAAATAGGCAAAGTCGTAAATAGTTTCGCTTTTCTAATGGTTCTTCCCATATTTCACCATTCCTTACAGGTGCTTTACGATGAAAAAAGAAAGTATGATAACCTAAGGAAACGTTAGATACTATATAGTATGTGGCTCTGTACCGCGCATGAACGTAATAGTAAGAGAACACCATATGATCGATAATGAGAACCGTATAATTTTATGCAAAGAATATCAATATAGTGTGCTTACTCTCACCAGATCTATATGAGATTCCCAAGAGATTCTTAACTCATAGTTGTTAAATTCGCTGTAAAGTTTTATTTATCTTTTGAACGCGAACCTGGGAAATGTTACGTTGTAATATTTGTATAAGTTAATGTTCACACCTTTATTGTAACTAAACCAATACCTCCCTTTGCAGAGTACTATACTGTTTTGAGGTCTATGTAAGTTATGTATGTTTTATGTAATTTGCACCCTTCAAAGTCAAACCCTGTTTCCTCTTTTGATGTCCAAACCACCCCTGCGGAGAAATTTTAAGAGTTATAAGAAGTTGATATTATGCAGTAAACATCTAAAGTCGGTGGCCTTGGTAAATCACAATAAATTGAGCGATGAAGTTATTGTGTATTACCTAATTGTTTATCAGTTTAGCCTCCTTCGGAATTTACATTGCCTTAGCCAATAATGTAACGCCGGACCAAATAATGAGTAATTTTAATTACTCATTATTTGATAAAAAATAATAAGTAATTAAAAGTTTCATCTGATGAGGATAAAGGCTGTCCTTAATCAAAAATGCGAAAGCTGTGTACTCAGCAATGGTTGAATGAGCTCATTCAAGCAATTTCTTTCGGACTCAAAGGGGAGTTAGGCAAGCCTGTCCCCTTTCCCCATATTTGTTTATTCTTGCTG